CAATGTGGCAGGTAAGATACCATATGCAAGCTCGTTTAGCATTGTTATTTGATGTAACTAAAATGGCTGCTTGCTACCCAAAGATTAATCCATGTTCTTCCAGCTCTTTGCAGTCATTCTGGCGCAGCTAGATTAATCAATATTTTAACAACAATAACAAAACCACAGCTGTGAAGTTTGTTCTGCAAATATATATTTCCTAAAACGCCATGTTCCAGTAGGTTCAGAATGAGAATTATCAATTCATATAAAGGAGCACCTAACAAAAGTTTCATCTTGTTCAGAAAATGTGACCGCTTCACTTACGGATACTATGTCACATTAACAACAATCACAATTGCCTTTGTGCTGATCTATATATGGCATGAAGATGAGAATGAAATATATGATGATCCAAGGCAGCCAGAGCATGTGTCTATAGAGTGAAGGATCAGAGACAGTTCATTATACAGTACATCATAGAATCAAACCCAATGTAACCAACTGGTTTCGTATAGCAGCCACCTAAAAGTAAGGGTTATGTTGATCCATCAGCAAGCCAGAATAAATAACTCTTATATTTCTTTCAGTCTGATTATTTATTACATCCCACCTTGTCTTCAGGATTTTGAAGTGGCATACAGTATGTAGGACTAAATCCATCCCCCCCCACAACATTCCATCTCCTAGGAAAAAAGGAGAAGGAAGGGATATTAAGTATGTTCATCATCCTGAATTACTTATAAAGTAATAAAGGCAGGATAAAGATCTAATAATTAAAAGGCCCAGAGATGTGCTCCTTCAAAGGACAGATGATATGGGATACCTATTAGAGATAAATAGGATCCCATTCAGCAGCAGAACCCGGATTTCCAGGTGACTTTGGATGCCAACAAAATACTTAGTGTCTCTCACCTTTTCCAAACTGAAGGACTTATTTTAGGCTCAGCATAATATGCTTCCATCAACAATTTTTGGGATTGATATTTCAGAACGTCCTTTCCCAAATGTATTTGTCCTTGTGGTTCAAAAAAAAATATGGATCCCATGCCCCTATGCAGCTCAATTGCAATGTCTATAGAGACATAAGGAATTGGTTCTGGACAGTGCTGGCTCAATGGCCTTGAAATGGAGATGAGCACCACTCCCTAGAGTCAGCAACAACTAGCAACAGACAGACAGATCTCTTCATGTCGTTTTGTTCTATTCTTTCCTGGAATGCTGCTTGCAATAAAGACTTAGATGTCACACCTCATACTTTTATAAACTTCACTAATTTTTTCCTTACTTCTTAGGCATTTCTTACTTCTTACTTACTTCTAAGAATCATTTAGAAACAGGGAAGGGGTTTTGTGCTTCCACCCAAAATGAATACAATTTGGCAACCTTTTGATGATTGGGAGCTACCGAATTAAGCCAAGAAGTTTAAATAGATAGTTAATGGAAGCAAAGAGTTCAAGCCTATCTCCCATATGTCAAATGCTGGATTCTCTTCCATTCCCATTTTCATCCCATTTTTTTTTTTTAAAGCAACAAATGGTTCCTCCAACTGCTAGCCATTCAGCAGTATGGCTGAAGCATTGTGTATGTTATAGGCATGTAAAGGGAGTCAGGTGGGCCAGTGATGTCAGGACCTAGGCACTGAAGGGCAGTTAAATCATGATATCACATCTGCATATGTCATGATTTTTTATAGATTTCTACTATGTAATACAGGTTGCTACTCTTTCTTAACTCCATTTGAAGTTTGACATTCTGTGGAAAGAGAATTTCCTCCAAGAATTCAAAAAGTCTTACTCTTACTGTCACTCAGACCCAGATGGGAACAGTACATCTAGGAACTAAAAGAGATAAGATATCGAAAGCCATCTTAAAAAGGACAGGGGCCTTTTGCTCCCTCACCCTCAAACTTATCTTTGAGATTTACTGTTAAGGATCACTAAAGCTCTTCCCTTATAACCTGCTAAGACTTACTCGGTTATTGTGGGCAAAAAGCAAGCAAACAAGCAAATAATAGCTGGAGGGCTTATCTATTTTATCCCTTTTCTCATGGTTGCATCACACCCAAATTTCTAAAACCTGTGGATGCATCAGAATCTTTTGCTTTTCCACAGAGACATTTTTTAACTTCAGTTTTTAAACCCTTTTGTGATATATTTATTATCCTAGCTAATGGAAAGCTCAGGCAGTACAAAACAGCATTAGGAAACATTAAGCTGGTCTTTATTGAGTTTGTCATTTTTTATCTGAAGGAAAATTGACTGGCTAATTGTCTTGCAATTCAATAAAAAATACTGCATTTAAAACATTTGAAACTGTTGGCTAGGCTTTATTTTCTTCATGCCATACCCATTGCTTGGAACTTGAATTTCATGAGACAAATGGATTAATTAGGAATTTATTAGATGAATTCTTATTTAATTAAAATAAGCTGGGAAAAAGACCAATTTCTTGTACCAGAATTATCACTTGTAGGATGAAATGCTGCCATGCACCTACTCACTGAAACCTTTTAAAACGGAAACACATATTTAGAATCTAAGAAGTAGTAAAATAAGCCAAATAAATTTATCTGAGCTATCCTTAGATTTAAATATATATGAGAAAAGTTGTAATATGGGATCTTCAAACTTTGTGGTACTGTGATAAATGAACCTCCAGGAATAAAATTGATTCCCTAGAGTTAGAATACATATACTTTAACACCTAAATTTAGTAATTAAACTTTATCACAAGAGCTTTCAAAATGTTGGCATTGCAACTTGAAGGCAACTTTTCAACTTGAAATGGCCAAAATAGGGATAAATGCTTGAGGTGAATTTGACAGCAGTCATTTTTACCCGTGGAAACCTGATACATGTTAAAACATTTAGTGATCCTGTAAATTGCTCACAACCCCCTCAAGGAGATCATGTTAGAGAACCCTCTATTAATATATTTTAAAGCCTATTCCAAAGCAGATTTTTTTCCCTCAGAAATAAACTCCAGGACTGGGCTTTTCAGCAAGATAATATCTTCCTGTGGGATGTATATACATTGCTAAAGGGTTAAAAGGACTAAATCAGTCCTTGGCTATGCTTTAGCTGTCCCTAAACTGGATTTCTTGGCTCATGAAGACTTAAAGCACAACATATATTCTTACTCATCAACCTGAATTCAGCTCACTCATTCCACTCTGGTTGAGCTGCCTCACATTCAAAAACCTTTCCAGTTGCCTTGGTTTCTATAAAACTAGGCAAAGGAAATAATTCAGATATAAAGCAGGTCTTACATAGCTTACTCGGCCACAGTAAAAAGTAATTTTCTAAAACACCAGTCATTCTGACTAAAAGTTAAATTTGTACTTATTAAATATAATTTTAGTGCTATAAACCAACACAACTGTTTCTCACAATGTGTTATTATCTAGATTCTTTTACTGGGTCTAAAGACAAACACAAGGGTGTGTGATCAACAAAATGAACCAGATTTAAATTTAGCTGCAGCTGTGGTAATTCCAAAAGTGTAAATTGCTGTAGGATGTGACTGTAAATATTTTTCAGCATTCTCAAATAATTCTGTATCCCAGGATTTATTTTTTTTAAAAAAATGTTGATACCTGAAGGACCAGTTATCATGTTTCAGCTTTTAAAAAAGGAGAGGGTCTGGAGAAGGGGTTAAGATATATGTTATACATTATGTATTTACAGTGAAATGTCCAATGGTTCATAAAATCTATTATGGCTCCAATCCCAGACATTTTAAAGTAATTTTTGATTCTGGACTGATGGAACATGACTAGGCCAAAAATGAAGATATATCTTGAGAAATCTGAATGTATGTAAATCTATTGTTATCACTATTTGCTTGTTTGTTTGTTTATTTATTTGGCTTTCCATTAAGGCCAAGATTACAAACAGACACAAGTTTGTGGTAATTTACTTCATCATTAAACACATGGCAGTTTAGAATGAACTATTGCTAAGGAATTTTGGTATACCAAGTGAAAAGATATTTCTTATCCAATCCCCTTGCCATAAGATTAAAGTTTACAATTCACATATCATTGAGCATATCTGCAAATTTATGGATACTAGAATTGACTTATCTGGAAATGTATATTTTGTTGTACATGATTAACATTATTGGCATGACCTAGACTTGTTTACAGAGCCAATGCATTTCCACAGATCATCAGGGACCAGCTAATTCACATAAGGGACACACTTGGCAGATATTCCAAGTCACAAAGTTGTGATGTCCTTGGAGTCCTTTTGTATTAAAACTAGAGGATACTCTTGGGGGAGGAAGAGTTCATTAAGAATCGTAAAATCTTTAAAAGCAAAAACAATTGAAACAGTTTTGATTTTCACTGTGATTTAAATTGATAAATGGGATAATACTACTTTGCTTGTTTATTCTTCCTAAAGAGAGGTTTGGAGAGAATTTGATACAGTCTAAGACCACTATAGCTACCTAATCTGCGCTCTAAAAATCTGGGTAAGCACCAAACCCCTGAACCACGGCTCGGTACCGGGTTGCGGCCTTTTGGAAACTGGGCTGTGCAAGCGGTGTACACATGCATGCGAAACCATCCCCTCTCCCTCCCTGCCGCCACCGGTCTACAGAGTGAGACAGGTTGGGGACCGCTGCTATGTAACCCTTTGTAAATTACCCTTTGTAATTGAGCAGATGTGATTCAACCTCCAAATGCAAGATGGCAATGCAAAGCAGTATTGGATGTGTGTTTAAAACTATTTTTCCTGATTTTTAGAAGCGCGTGTGATACTCAGGGAAGAAAGGAAGGAAGTGAGGGAAGAAGGAAAGAAAAGCCATATGGCACATGTGAGGATGACAGAGGATACAAAAGGATATTTGACTGCCACTGCTAATTTTACGAATTGTTTCATTATCTGCATTGCTTTTCCCCCTTGAACAAACTTATTCCTTATATACAGTATTTATTCCTTTGCTCTCCATCCTTTTATTTTTTTTAATCTCCATTTTTAGATATATTAACTGATAAGATATTGTGGACCTCTGCTAGAAAAATGCAACCTGAATGACTTCTGTGGCCATCTTTGCAAGCATGTACAGACTCCTCATCTGATGTTCTTTGACTGGTAAAGTTTCTTCATGACTAACACTATTTGTTCTTGCTCCCATAACGATGGATTCATCACGACACTGGGGACACTTGCTCGTCCTCTTTGAACATAACTTTGTATACCTTATATGGAAAGAAAGTTATTATTTGCTTTCTCTCTACTGCTTACTACTTTGTTCCTTTGCCAGACTTATGGTATCTATCTATTCAGTCCTTCTCCTTTCTCCACTCCCAAATGTTGCAGCTGAGCTATTATTCTTGATTCAACCCCCTTTTTATCTCTCTCTTTACATACTTCTCCATCTTGGGAAAAAATCTTCGTAAGTTTACTTTGCAAATGATCTTCTAGGATACTAGCTTCAAAAATTCTCCTTTAAAAAAAAAGAATTCTTGTTTCATCTCTGTTACCCTGAATCTTATGGAAACAACAGGCTACCAAGATGAAAAGATAATTTTAAAGGCTAAAGAAATCTTACATTTCTAAAGTTATACTTGCTGTGTTTTTGTCCATACTGGTAAAACCTGTTAGTTTTTGGACAAAGTCTATTGGGCCAATAATAGGTTGTCCTTGGCTGAACAAAACCGGGAACAGATATGAGGAAATTTGTTCTCTGCTATGGAGCTATTTTTTAAAAAAATTAAATTTATTATAGGTGTCTGACTCCAATGGACTCTGAGCAGCTACAATAAAACTAAATAATCAATTTTTCCCAGTCTTTCATATCAAACATTTTCTGTGGACATTTTGGAGTCGGCCGATATTAGCCTGCTAAATTAAGCTGTTCAAAAAAGAGATATTTTACTTAAGCAGCTTCTTGATTTATTTGCAGAGCTTTTCAGTAGTGCTAAGCCTCACCTTCAATTGTAGGGTCTTAAATCTTTTTACAGTAGTGGCCAAAATTGTGGAAACCTTTTGGGAAAAGTGTATTTTCTAAAACTAGCTAATAACATCACTTTTTTTTTGGAGTAGTACTATAAAATTATATATCAGTGGAAAAATAATTTAATCAAGAATGTAATGCAATAACTATTAGAATAACAGTTACAGTATAAAGAAGAAAAGTGAAACAGGAAGAAAAAACTAGATATACAAAAATTATCACCCTGTCAGTTAATACTTAGTTGGATAAACTTTAGCATGAATTACGGCCTTACAATGTCTTCCCATGGAGTGAACCAAGTCTTTTAGTTCTGCAGCTGTTATTTATTTTTATTTTATTTTACTTCGAATTTATATACCGCCCTTCTTCCTGGGAACTCAGGGCGGTGTACAGCTAGATAAAAACACATAATATAAACATTAAGAACAAATTAAAAGGAAATATCTCAATTTGGCCAAAAAATTTAAGAAACATACAAATTTAAAATCATTTAAAAGGCATTGTTAGGCCAGCCCGGCTTGTTGGAAAAGGAAAGTTTTAAGGGAACGGCGGAAGGCACGGAGGTCTTGGATTTTCCTTATCTCTGGGGGCAGCTGATTCCAGAGGGTAGGTGCCCCCACAGAGAAGGCCCTCCCACTGGGGGTCACCAGCCTGCATTGCTTGGCTGATGGCACCCCGAGGAGGCCCCCTCTGTAGGAGCGCATGGGTCGATGGGAGGTCGTCGGTGGCAGAAGGCGGTCTCGCAGATAGCTAGGCCCTATGCCATGGAGCGCTTTAAAGGTGGTAACCAACACCTTGAAGCGCACCCGGAAGACCACTGGGAGCCAGTGCAGCTCGCGCAAGAGCAGTGTTTTGGGGAGCGCCATGCAGCTCCCGTAATTACCCGCGCGGCCGCATTCTGGACCAGTTGGAGCCTCCGGGTGCTCCTCAAGGGGAGGAGAGTGTTGTAGAGAGCGTTGCAGTAGTCCAGGTGAGAGGTGACGAGGGCATGAGTGACTGTGCACATGGAATCCCGATCAAGAAAGGGGCGCAACTGGCGAATCAGGCGAACCTGACAAAAGGTCCCCCGGCAACAGCCGTCAGATGTTCCTCCAAAGACAGCTGCGTATCCAGGAAGACTCCCAGATTGCGCGCCCTCTCAACGGGGGCCAAAGACTCGCCCCCGATAGTCAGCAGTGGAGTCAGCTGACTATATCGGGATGCCGGGAACCACAGCCACTCAGTCTTGGAAGGGTTATAATGTGAAAGATTGAAGGATTGCTTCTATTAACTGGGTTTTATTGCTGAGTTGTTTCTGATTAACAAGTTTCTTTACTCCAGCGCGGACTTAGTGGCTTTGAGGAATGCCCCCCATTCCTGGGAGTGGCCTACCTTAATGACGGGTCTTGGGACCCCAAGAGGTGGTACACAGGCTCTAAGGGTTTTTTAAAGGGGACATTGTATTGTTTTTTAACTAAATTTTTAAGGGGATTGGGGAGGGGGGAGGGGTATTGCCGGTGGGTGACTGGGGGGGCTCCGTTGGGTCAGCGGCAGCCCAGGCTTTGGGGGGAGAACGGTGGAGGGTTGGGATGGGGTGCCCTGGGTGCCCTAAGGGAAAGGGTGGGAGCTCATATTCCGGTTGTGATTGGGAATGGAGGCAGGTGGATGAACGGAGGGCCGTACCAAAACTCAGGAGCTCGCCCCACTGTCTTCGAGCGGTGGCATGCTCCGACCCTCCTGGTTCTATCCGACTTCCTGGGGGTTTGAGAGATGGGGACACTGGGCTCCGGTTGGTCTATTTTAATGCCAGGTCTGTGGTTCACAAAGCTCCCCTCATTCGGGATTTGATTGAGGAGGAAAATGCAGACCTGGCTTGCATTACGGAAACCTGGTTGGGCTCAGAGGGAGGTGTCCCTCTGACTGAACTTTGCCCACCAGGTTTCCGGGTGCTGCACCAACCGAGGGCCCAGGGAAGGGGAGGGGGAGTGGCGGTTGTTATAAGGGAAGCCCTTAGTCCGCGGGAGGTCACTGTTCCGCAGATAGACGGATATGAAACCCTCATGAGATGGGGTCAACAGGATCAGTTGGGCCTGCTGATCACGTACCTGTCTCCCAGCTGCGTGGCAGCGGCCCTGCCTGGCCTACTCGATGTCCTGTCAGGGTTGGTGGTGGAGTTCCCCAGACTTATGGTGCTGGGTGACTTCAACCTGCCTTCCCTGGGCAGGGGGTGGGGTGGGGGTGGCTCGGGAGTTCATAGCATCCATGGTGGCCCTGGACCTGACTCAGATTATGCAGGGACCGACTCATGAGGGAGGACACACACCCGATCTTGTTTTTATCTCGGAGCAGTGGCGTGTTATGCTCGGTGGGGGGGGTTCTGTTGTTTCCCCCCTGTCATGGACCGACCATCATCTCCTCTGGTTGAACTTCCAGGGTGCCACCCCACCTTGCTGGGATGCGGAACTGACCATCTGGTTCCGCCCCAGGCACCTGATGGACCCAGAGAGGTTCCAGGCAGAACTTGGGATGATCCCTCTCTCTCTCTCCCACGCCCCAGTCGAGACCCTGGTGGGGGCCTGGGACAGCGGCCGCTGGGGCTCTCGACTGTGTCATGCCTTTGAGGCCTCTGACCTGGCGCAGACCCCGACTTGCCCCCTGGTACATTGAGGAGCTTCAGGGGATGAAGCGCAGGAGAAGAGGCCTAGAGAGCTGTTGGAGGACTAGTCGTTCCAAATCTGAGCGAGCTCAGCTAAGATCGTTCACACAGTCTTACCTGGAGGCGATCACGGCAGCGAAGCGTACATACTTCTCCGCCTCATCGCGTCCGCAGATAATCGCCCAGCTGCCCTGTTTAGAGTATCCTGCTCCCTCCTGTATCAGAGGGCGGGGGAGGACCCTTTGCGGGGGCGAGCTGAGGAGTTTAGCCATCATCTGTGGGATAAGATCGCTCAGATTCGGGACAGCTTGGACTCTGATTGGGCAGGGTCGGACGGGGAGGAGGCGGCGGGTCTTGTTATCTGGGAAGAGTTCAATCCTGTTACCCCGGAGGAAGTGGACAGGATCATGAGGAAGCTGAGTGCGACCACTTGCATACTGGACCCGTGTCCCTCCTGGCTGGTTTATGCAGCTCGGGAAGTGACACGCAGTTGGATCCAGGCAGTGATAATGGCATTCTTGGATGGAGGGAGTTTTCCCGCCGCCTTGAAGGAGGCGGTGGTTAGGCCCCTCCTTAAGAAACCTGCCTTGGATCTAACCATTTTGGGCAACTTTCATCCTGTCTCCAACCTTCGTTTTTTGGCGAAGGTTGTTGAGAGCGTGGTGGCACGTCAGTTTCCAGTGGCCCTGGATGAAGCAGTTTACCTAGATCCGTGCCAATCGGGTTACAGGCCCGGTTACAGCACAGAGACGGCATTGGTCACGCTGGTGGATGCTCTCTGGAGGGCTCAGGACAGGGGTTATTCCTCGGTCCTGGTCCTATTAGATCTCTCAGTGGCTTTTGATACCATCAACCATGATATCTTGCTGCGACGCCTCGAGGGGTTGGGAGTGGGAGGCACCATTTTACAGTGGTTCGTCTCCTACCTCTCGGGTCATATGCAAATGGTGTTGGCAGGGGGACAGAGGTCGGCCATGAGGCCCCTCACTTGTGGGGAGCCCCAGGGGTCAGTCCTCTCGCCCCTTCTGTTCAACATTTACATGAAGCCGCTGGGAGAGATCATCCGTGGTTTTGGGGTGGGGTATCATCAGTACACTGATGATACCCAGCTTTTTATATCCAACCCGAACCAGCCCAGTGATGCCCTCGACGTGATGTCCCGGTGCCTGGAAGCGGTATGGATCTGGATGGGGAGTAACAGGCTTCGACTCAACCCGACCAAGACTGAATGGCTGTGGATACCGGCATCTCAGCCCAAGCAAGAAGTTCCAACGCTGTCTATTGGGGGCGAGGTGTTGCCCTCCCGTAGACAGGGCGTGCAACTTGGGTATCCTCCTGGACTCACGGCTAAGTTTGGAGGGTCATATCATGGCCGTGACCAGGGGGGCGTTTGCCCAGGGTTGCCAGTTGCACCCATACTTGGGCCGAGATGCCCTACACACAGTCACTCATGCGCTAGTCACCTCCCGGATCGACTACTGCAATGCTCCCTACCTAGGGCTGCCCTTGAGGACCACCCAGAGGCTTCAGCTGGTACAGAATGCGGCTACGCGGGTTGTTGCAGGAGGGTCCCGATACTTCCATATTACACCTCTCCTGCGCGGCTTGCATTGGTTGCCGGTTGCCCTCCAGGTGAGATTCAAGGTGCTGGTGTTAACCTATAAAGCCCTTCATGGCTTAGGCCTAGGCTATTTGTTGGACCACCTGTAACCAGCGTCAACTTCCCATCGCCCAGTGCGCTTTCACAGAGAGGGCCTACTCAGGGTGCCGTCAGCTAGACAATGTCGGCTGGCAACCCCCAGGAGTAGAGCTTTCTCTGTGAGCATCCCCACCCTTTGGAATCAACTTCCCTTGGGGCTCCAGTTGGCCCCTGATCTTCGTACCTTCCACTGTGAATTGAAAACCTGGCTATTTATGTCCTCCAGCCTGGACTGATGGGGTAGTATATTTTAAATTTAAAAAAAAAAAAATGATTTTTTTTATATTTTTTGTGTATATTTGTTGATTATAATAGTTGTTGGTCGACTGTTGTGTGAGCTGCCCTGAGTCCTTGGAGATAGGGCGCCATACAAATTTTATAAATAAAAAAATAAATAAAAATAGTCAGCTCCATAGATTTTAAATTGAGTTAAGGTCTGGGCTATTCCCAGGCCATTCCAGCAGTGGAATATGAGTATCTTGAAACTCCAAAAAAAAAAAAAAAAAAAAAAGTGGTGTTATTAGCCATCAAACCTCAAAAATACACTTTTCCCAAAAGGTTTCCACAATTTTGGCCACAACTATATATAGTCTTAATGCAAGACAACATTGTGCATTTCCCCCTCCTTCTTTTCTTCACTTAATATAAATCACTGAAGTCTTAGTACTTTCAGTGGTCTGCTTGGATGTGGTCATCTCTTTAGCTTGATATTTACCTTTTAATTGTAAAAACGTACCCCCCCCTTTTTTTTTTGCTCTACATTACTATTTAATCAATGAATTTTACAATTTCTTGGAAACTATCAGTATTTTTTCCCTATATTTATAGTGTACAGGATAAGTGCCTGTATTACGGTAGATAATGTACAAGCATAACTCTAGTTAATATATATCCTTTCATCTCTGGCATGTTTGCAGATATCGTTACTGAGATAACATGATGAGTTAGCACAATTTCCTTCAATACTTTAGAAACATTGGGATTGCATGAAAGATAAATGCGTTGCTGCTGCCTGAGTATTGCACAGTCAGCATATCTCCTTCTTTTTATTTAAATTTGCCTTGTGCAGCCTTCTGCTGTAAAATATTCCTTGAAAGATAGGGGTCACAGAAGAATGTCCTTCCCCTGAATGCCAACTTCCGTCCTAGAATGCACTATATTCAGTGGTGAGATTCAATATTTTTAACAACTGGTTCTGTGGTCAGGGGGTGTGTGGCTTGGTGGTCATGTGACCGGGTGGGCGTGGTTTGGTGGTCATGTGACCGGGTGGGCGTGGCTATGTGCATAGGGACTACTCAGAGGGCTGAAAAAAGTCATTTCTGACTGGTCCTCGCACTTATGACCATCCTCACATTTATGCCCATTGCGGCATTCTTAACAACCGTGTCAGTCATTTCACCACTACTTCTCTTCACCATGGTGACAAGATAGGGCGTAAAACGTAAAATGTGAGGACAGTCGTAAGTTCAAGGACTGGTCAAAAGTGCGAGGACCGGTCAAAAATAACTTTTTCAGCCTTCTGACTAGTCCATATGCACATAGGGACTATTCAGAGGGCTAAAAAAAGTCATTTCTGACTGGTCCTCACATTTTTGACTGGTCCTCGCACTTATGACCTTCCTCACATTTATGCCCGTTGCGGCATTCTTAACAACTGTGTCAGTCATTTCACCACTACTTGTCTTCACCACAGTGACAAGATAGGGCGCAAAACATAAAATGTGAGTACAGTCGTAAGTGCGAGGACTGGTCAAAAGTGCGAGGACCGGTCAAAAATAACTTTTTCAGCCCTCTGAGTAATCCATATGCACAAAAGGATACAGCAATAGAGAGGGATGAAGGAAGGAGAAAAGAGATGGAAGAAAGAAGGAGAGACAGGGAAGGAAGAGAAGGGAGGAAGGGAAGGGAAATTAGAGTAAGAGTGAGGGTAAGAGAGGGAGGAAGAGAGGAGGAGAAGAAGAGGGGGGGGAAGAGAAAGTAAGAAGGAAAGAAAAGAGAGAGGTAGTAGGTTTGAGGAGAAAGATTGCTGTACAGTAAAAAAGATGAAATGGAAGAAAGGCAACCCCAAACAAATATAAAGATATTAAGATAAAGAATGAATTGTTTAAACTTTAAAGAATAAAAAAGAATAAATATGAATAAATAGCAGTAATTAGAAACACACATACAAACATACAATGTATTTTCTTTGAACAGAGTATTTGGCCAGTTCACAAATTTAAACAGTGTTTAGTCATTTCAATTAAATTTACAATTTCTATATTTCCTTTTTGCCATATTTATTCCTTATCTATTTTTTTAAAAAAACAATATTACCCTTCATCCTCATCTCTAATCTTAATCAAATTCAATTTTTCCCTTCTATTCTATATTATACCCCTTCTCATTGTCATCTATTTTTATATCCATCCTCACATTGGTTAATTATGTAATATTACAGTTGTTTAATATAAATTCAACATTTTAATATAAATCAATTAGTTATACAACTATCTTTTTTTGTATATTAATCAATATGAACATGAATATTCCAATTATTTCCATGCAATCCAATTTCTTACAAATCAATTAATTATATTTACCAATAATAATAAACCAAATGATTTCCCCCATATATTCCTCCAAACCACAATTTAACCATTTCTGCTTTCAACACAATATACAATTAATAGTATCTCAATTATTACAATTCCCTATTTAAATAGAGCTTTTTTTCTTTTGTGTTTTAAAATCTTGAACTCTCCTCTTTTTCCCTAAAGAGGAACTACCTCTTTAGGGAAAACTACCTTTCCACTAAAGGTAGTTTGCACCTACCTTTTTTGGTGAGGAAAAAGAAAAGAAATCTGCCTGCCTAATTTTCCAACGTTGCAGCAACAGTAAAGCAGGCTTTTACTTTCAGTTTCGTTTTTCAGCATAGATAGGGGAAAAAAATCTGCATTCTTTGCAAGCAAGCAGCAGAGCCCTGAGCAAAACAGCTGAGAGCAAATCAGCTGAGAGTCGGGAGGCCGATAGAATCAAGGGGCTAATTAGCCTATGCTGAAGCTCCGTGGGCCAATAAAATTACAAAAAAACACAGAACCGTTTGTTAAATTGCTGGCTCGCCCGCCCCTCGCCCACCACTATTTATTGGCAATAAATAGTGGTGCGGAGGGGCGGGGCAAGGGGCGGGGTGAGCCAGCAATTTAACAAAGGGTTCGGCCGAACCCCCTAGAACTGGCAGAATCCCACCACTGACTATATCCATGATGGTGAACCTATGGCACGCGTACCCGAGGTGGCACATAGAGCCATCTTTCCGGGCACGCAAGCTGTCGCCCAACTCACCTGCAGCTGCGCATCCGCACACACCCCAGCTGGTGTTTGGGCCTCTGGTGCGTAAGCATGCAATTCAGGGGACCCAGCTAGTTTTCAGAGCTCTCCTGTGCATGCGCATGAGTAAGTGTGTGAGAGTATTTGCACGCAGTGCATGCATGCATAGATGGTGTTCACGTGCATGCATTGCACACGTGAAAACTGTGCGCATGCGCAGATGGTGCGATTGTGCATGCAGCATACGGGGGGAGCTGCATGAAAGCTGCACACATGCACAGGTGGTGATTGCACGCACAGTGCACGGGGGAGTGTGCAAAAGCCACGCACATGTGCAGATGGTGTAGTTGCACGCACAGCACACGGGGAAGGAGCTGCATGTTAGCGTGGACAGCATGCACACGCACAAAGCGCGTACCTGTTTGGCATTCGGTGAGTAAGAGGTTCACCACTACTGCACTATATGCAGCTATTTATTTATCTCTACTGAAAGAAAGTCATACTGTGCTTGCTGGAATACTTCTATATCATCCAATCACAATCTAGGAAAAAAAAACCCCTCTTCACTATGAACAGGGAAGAGCAACTTTGAAAACAGAAATTTTCAAAGTCCTCAACTTACAACCGTTCATTTAGTGACCGTTCAAAGTTACAACAGCACTAAAAAAAGGGGACTTATGACTGTTTTCACACTTACGACTGTTGCAGCATCCCCATGGTCACGTGATCAAAATCCAGATGCTTGGCAACGGATTCATATTTATGATGGTTGAAGTGTCCCGGGGGTCGTGTGATCCCCTTTTGTGACCTTCCGACAAGCAAAGTCAATGGGGAACCCCGATTCATTTAACAACCGTGTTACTAACTTGACAACTGGAGTGATTCACTTAACAACTGTGGCAAGAAAGGTCGTAAAATGGGGCAAAACTCACTGAACAAATGTCTCACTTAGCAACTGAAATTTTGGGCTCAATTGTGGTCATAAACCGAGGACAACCTGTTATTAGATTTATCTATTAGGCTCATAGTTCTCTGTTCCAATGGCAGGTTGGTATTGTAATACTCAGCTCACTGCACCTTTCTGGCTTAGTGTCAGAGGAGAATAATCCTTATGCCTTTGGATTCCTTTTGTTACACTAACTTAATTCTTTCCTTCTATCCCAGCACAGCGGATGAGATCAGCAGATGAAGCTTTGGAAAAAGGAAAACAATACCTTTCAGCAAAAGCCCTCTGTTTAGGTTATCCATTTCTTTTTGTATGAATGACTAAGCAGGGAAGCATCATGCTAATCAGCAGTTCAGCAGCAAGGAAAGTTCAATCCGGCCAGCCATCCAGATATAAACTTTGCTCTATTCCAGCAGTGTTAAATTTATCTCCCTCATCTCCCATTCCCTTCTGCTTCCTTTCCCTCTAGAGCATGCCTGTTAGTTTGTAAGCCTGAATTGATTCTGCTTCTTGTTGGGGTTCAGGTTTTTTTTTAAATTTAAACACAGCATTTACAAATGGTATAGCAAATTATGATAACCGAGCATTCCTGTGGGAAGCCATTTTTACCTAAAAAGCATGATAAAATCATGTTTAAAATAAATAAATAAAAGAGTGTTTAGGGGGAAGAAAGATTTAGCATGATCACCTACAATTTCTGTGGGTGGAAACCTTCACTGGCTCACAGGAACATTTGCATATTTTGAAGGGACATTAAAGAATCTGTCATTATAATAAATGCTGAATAAGCTACTTGATTGATCATTATCTATTAAATGGCCTGTCCTTTTTAAGGACAAAGTCCAACCAGATTTGTGTGTTTGTGAATACATGCCCACAAATATGCTCTGGGATGTTAACAGATCTACAAATACAAGAAAAAAACATACCCTTAATTAGGGTGACCAGTCCTTCTCCTCATCTTTTCCATTCCTTTCCTATAGGCCCAGATGTAAAGATGCACAGCTGCAGCTCTACATTGCAGAGTCCCCAAACTCTTAAAGAGTTAAGAAAAAAATAACAAGTTTGCATTGGAACATAGTGAGTGGGGGGAGACAGCTTGAGTAATAACACAGGAAGAGGAGAATGATAAGGGGAGAGCTGAGGATTAGGAAACTGAGCATTAGGAAAGTGGGCTGAGAACAATCTAAACCTTAATATACATAAATTGTTTATTTATTTATTTATTTATTTATTTATTTATTTATTTATTTATTTTTAAATTTGTATACCGCCCTTCTCCCTGAGGACTCATGCCAAGTAAAAGCATAAACTACAAATATTAAAATACAATTAAAAAGATATATATAAATTTGGCCCCATGATTAAAAACAATAACAATAATAAAATAAGTTATTTATATAAAAACTGTGTAGAATGTAATGGTTAATATTACAGTAAAGCACTTTTATCAATCATACAGGTGAAACTCGAAAAATTAGAATATCATGCAAATGTTCATTTATTTCAGTAATGCAACTTAAAAGGTGAAACTAATATATGAGATAGACTCATTACATGCAAAGTGAGATAGTTCAAGCCTTGATTTGTCATAATTTTGATGATTATGGCTTACAGCTCATGAAAACCCCAAATTCATAATCTCAGAAAATTAGAATATTACATGAAATCAATAAAACAAGGATTGTATATAGAACAATATCGGACCTCTGAAAAATATAAGCATGCATATGTACTCAGTACTTGGTTTGGGCCCCTTTTGCATCAATTACTGCCTCAATGCGGCGTGGCATGGATGCTATCAGTCTGTGGCACTGCTGAGATGTTATGGATGCTTCAATAGCAGCCTTCAGGTCTTCTGCATTGTTTGGTCTCATGTCTCTCATTTTTCTCTTGGCAATGCCCCATAGATTCTCTATGGGGTTCAGATCAGGTGAATTTGCTGGCCAATCAAGCACAGTAATCCCATGGTCATTGAACCAGGTTTTGGTACTTTTGGCAGTGTGGGCAGGTGCCAAGTCCTGCTGGAAAATGAAGTCAGCATCCCCATAAAGCTCGTCTGCGGAAGGAAGCATGAAGTGCTCTAAAATCTCCTGGTAGATGGCTGCGTTGACCCTGGACTTAATGAAGCACAGTGGACCAACACCAGCAGGTGACATGGCTCCCCAAATCAACACAGACTGTGGAAACATCACACTGGATTTCAAGCATATTGCAGTGTGTGCCTCTCCATTCTTCCTCCAGACTCTGGGTCCTTGGTTTCCAAATGAGATGCAAAAGTTGTTCTCATCAGAAAAGAGGACTTTGAGCAACAGACCAGTTCTTTTTGTCTTTAGCCCAGGTAAGACACTTCTGACGTTGTTTGTTGTTCAGGAGCGGCTTAACAAGAGGAATACGGCATTTGAAGCCCATGTCCAGGATCCGTCTGTGTGTGGTGGCTCTTGATGCACTGACTCCAGCCTCAGTCCACTCCTTGTGAACGTCCCCAACACTTTTGAACGTCCTTTTCCTGACAATCCTCTGGCTGCGGTCATCCCTGCTGCTTGTGCACCTTTTTCTTCCACACTTTTCCCTTCCACATAACTTTCTATTAATGTGCTTTGATACAGCACTTTGGGAACATCCAACTTCTTTTGCAATTACCTTTTGAGGCTTTCCCTCCTTATGGAGGATGTTAATGATGGTTTTCTGCACAACTGTCAGGTCAGCAGTCTTTCCCATGATTGTGATTCCTACTGAACCAGACTGAGAGACCATTTAAAGGCTCAGGAACCCTTTGCAGGTGTTATGGCTTAATTAGCTGATTAGAGTGGGAGACTTTGAGCCTAGAATATGGAACCTTTTCACAATATTCTAATTTTCTGAGATTGTGAATTTGGGGTTTTCATGAGCTGTAAGCCATAATCATCAAAATTATGACAAATCAAGGCTTGAACTATCTTGCTTTGAATGTAATGAGTCTATCTCATATATTAGTTTCACCTTTTAAGTTGCATTACTGAAATAAATGAACTTTTGCACGATATTCTAATTTTTCGAGTTTCACCTGTATGTATGTCACTTTTGAGACTGGCTAAATAGGGATGAATTTGTTGATTTCCAAGTGAATATAAATATTGTACCTATATGATCTTTAGTGCCAGCCTTAATTTTGTAGAGATGAAACAGCTAGAAGATTCAGGGCACCATCCCCAATCACAATTGTGCAGAGGCTAATTGTGGTAATAGCCCAAAGAGGGTTATGTGCTTTGTGCATAATTAATCCTGTTTAGCTATTTATTAGACACCATGACTGAAGTCCCGGTGTTCAGAACAGTTTCTTGGGCTTAGCCTTGCCCAGAGCTGTTCTAAATAAATATTTAATTTATTTTGGAATTAAAAGATGTATTTTGAACACATATTTTTAAAATTACTAGGACGTACTTCCAAGCTATCAAATTTAAGACAATTATGGCTGCAGGGAAATATTTGGGGGACTAAGCTTTTGAAAAAAGTAGGTTTAATATCTAGGGTAAAACATGCATAATGTGTGAAAGAACAGTTTGGGAAATAGTCTAAAGTAATAATTAATATTATTGATATTTTAATTCTATCAAACAGCACTGTCAAAGTATACATGAAGCAATCATTCAGAAAGCCAGTAAATAAAGTGTTATGAGTGAGGAAAACAGAACTTGGACGCAGTAAGTGTCATCCATTTGCCACAATGCTGTCAAATGCTTCCGTTTGTTACATGTTTTTTCAGAAAACAACACAGCATGAAGCTGGCCTGGGAACAGCACCATGTTGGGCTAATCTAAAGCTGAGTTTGGATGTATGAAAACAACCTTTGTCTTTTGTAAGCACATCACAATCAAGCTCAGAATTAACTTATTTTACCAATTGGAGTGTTTTCCAATATGAAAGTAGCCAAGAAGCAGCAAAAAAAAATGTTTTTTTAAAAAAGCAAGCGCAACCATAACTGAATCAAGCAAGACTTTTCATGGGTGAGGTTGGGGGGAATTATCAGATCAAAATTTGATTTCGTTCCTGCCTTGCATGAACCATATGGGTAGCTTGCTAGCCCTACCAGATTAGACAGCTGTATTACTGTAGTCTGAGTAAGTACAAGAAATGAAAGCAATCCTCACTGTGTTGCCCTATACTCCTATCATAAACAAACAAGGCTGAAGAAGCTTCTTGGATGAGAAGAGAAATGTCTTCAAAGAAAAACCAGAAAGTCCAGCCTCTTGAAAAAGCACCTTTGGGACAACCATGACCAGGATGACTGAGTATCTCCATAGACTGCCTTAACTGCTACACCAACTCTAGCTATGAACATAGCTGGTAACCATAATCAGATGCACTTAAACTTCTTGCAATCTGCCACGTTAGTACTATTATTTGTTACTGCTTATGCTTCACTTTTGAGATTTATCCTCCCTTATTTACAAGATTAGTTAAATATATAACACGGTTAATCATCACATAATAATCACATTAGTTAATTCATGACTTCCTTTATTACCACTTTCAAATATAAATGAATAAACTGATTTTGTACTCCTTCACCTGCTTACTTAGGAGGAGACCCTACTGAAAAACATGGAACAAACTTCAGAAAAGATATAACACACTGTACATTTCTACTGGTTGTACTGTACATTTATAGGGTAGTGCTTTAATGTTTAAAACTAAGTATGTTGGATCAGATATAGAAAAAAAAGCTGAGCGGAGGTTCAGAAAGAGAACCATTTCTAAAATGGTCATGGCCTCACATTATTGAACATCTTGCTTTAAAGACAAACTGTAAAAACTAAGTTTTTTTAAAAGAACGGAAACATTACAAAGTCTATACCTATTGAAGAAATTATAGAAAGGAGTCTGCAGAGAAGCTATTTTAAAGGATCTGGAGGACCATTGGAGGATGGCAGATGTCACCACTGGGACTGTTCTTTCTTTGGCTGCTCCAAAGATGGACCTTAGAAATAGATCCAGGTGTTTGGGAGCAGATTGACAAAGTAGAAGAATTGGATTCTATGCTCGGTATTGATGATTAAAGTTGTTGGTAAAGTTTTCAGAGAATGAGAAACAGGATTGAGAGGATTGGTGTATATCATTGGACTGTGTGTGGGGACTTTCAGATTGTTTGCATGTTTGACTGTTAAGAAAATCTATGAGAGACCTCTCAAGGGTTGATAGCTGGGAAAAGAACTTTGTGAGAAATCTGACTGGTTTCAGATGTTAGGTAGGTACTAGAGAAAAAAGTACTAATGCCTCATGATTTCTGTTTTACCACAATCCCTTATGAAATCCAAAGTAAAATATTTGTTTCTCCCTCTCCTCCTATCTTTAATGAAAGGCTAGGAAGGAAATAGTGCATCTATGGTATTGTTGTACTGTGAGGAATGAAGAAAAAAAATAAGTTCAAGATCAAGGACACAACAGGTGGTAGCATCTAGCTAACCTTGGCTGACATCAAAAAGCTTACAAGGGTCAAATCCAGCAAATACAGGTAGTCCACAATTTACAATAATTTGTTTAGTGACCATTCAAAGTTACAACGGCACTGAAAAATGTGACATGACCATTTTTCACAGTTACGACCTTTGCAGCATCCCCACGATCATGTGATCAAAATTCAGATGCTGGGCAACTGGTTCATATTTATGACAGTTGCAGTGTCCCGGGGTCATGTGATCCCCTTTTGCAACTTTCTGACAAGCAAAGTCAAAGGGGAAACCAGATTCACTTAACAATCGGGTTACAAACTTACCAATTGCAGTGATTCACTTAACAACTGTGGCAAGAAAGGTCATAAAATGGGGCAAAACTCACTTAACAAATATCTCACAGAAAGTTTGGGTTCAATTGTGGTCATAAGTCAAGGACTATCTGTATTTGGATGGAAGATCATCAGGAAATTGGGCTAAATTGGGCAGCCCTAACAAATTTCCAGATAAGGGTCCAGAAGAAAACAGTGAACAGCTTCCTTATTATTTCTGGGAAAACTACGTAAAGTCTTTGCTAAACTGTAAGTGATGTGAACTGTCCGAACTCTATAGCCTTTTATTTATGCAAATAGTCTTTGGTTTATGACCACTATTGTGACTGGAAATTCAGTCACTAAGTGATCGTTAAGCAAATCATCACACAACCGCACTTGGTTTTACAGCCATTTTTACTATGGTTGTAAGAGACATTGAGTCACATGAATGTTAAGCAAATCTGGCTTCCCCAACTGACTGTACTTGTTGGAAGCCAGCTGGGAAGACCGCAAATCACAAACATGTGACCACAAGACACTACATCCATCATCAATGTGAACTGGTTGCCAAGTGGCCAAATTGCAATCATGGACTGGGACGGTAATATGAGGATCATAACTTTGAGAATGGATTGTAAGTCACATTTTCCAAGGCCATCATAACTTCAAATTGTTAAATGGTCATAAATCAAGGATTACCTGTAATTCAAGTGTGGTATGGATACTTGCTAAATACAGTGATACAGATTCTCAAAGCTGAAGCCTCTCGGGGATAAAGTATTAAATATTTCTCAGAAAGGACCAACAGGCCTGAAATGTATTCATGGTACACAAAAGTTAGGTTCATTTGACGGAATAACCCAATAGCCATTCTCTTGGTTAATGGACCATCTCTACGTGCAGATAGCTTATGACCAACGATGACCTAGTGAAGAGGGGAACAGCCATTTCCTCATCTGCTGGAAGGATATTACTCCCTGTTTTTTCCACCATTGGAACTTTTTTTCACTGAAGGGTTGGGTTTGCACTGAAAACTAAAAGGGGGACAAAGTTCCCCCTGTTTTCATGGTGATTTTTCTAGGGCCTGTTCAGAAAGGGGAAGAGGCAGAAAGCTCTAAATTCAAATCCTTTCTGCATTGTTTCTCTTAGTTCTGAGTGCATGACACTTTCCTCAACCCAGTTAGCGAAGTTATGAGAATGAGAACAGAAAGCTTAGAAATATTGTCATTGCCAAAAAAACCCCACAAAAACCATAAAGGTAAGCTCTCCATTCCAAACAACCACAGAAATCAAGTCACAGGTGTTTGTCCTACAACTAGAAGTGAGCATTACTCCACAAAATTCATTCAGATGCTCCAATTCATCTGTTTACCTCTAAGGGAGCATGCAACCTTCAATTGCAACAGACCATAAGATGGCTACCTGTCACTTAGCTAATCATGTCTATTTCTCTAAAATGATTGTCAGAGGTTCTTCTTCCATCAAAATATTGCTCCTCAAATATGCCTTCTCGGGTTTTCTTCCTTTGCCCTCTTAAATCATAGAAAGTACACCTTCAGTGCCCATTTAATTTCAAAATCTCCATTCCGAGTGCTCTCGAGAAGCTGATTTTAGTAAGACAAATGGCTGTGTGGACTGGAAATGGAAGCCTTTGTGCGAGAGATGTATATTTCTCCTTAATAATGAATGCCTTGTAGAAAGCACAAAAGGCCAAGGCTGGGGAGAGGGAGAGGAAATGCATCATCCACATCTTCATATTCAACCCTTCTCACATGCAAAGCTCATCCATGGCCCAGTAGCCAGGAACAGCAAAGGTGTCTCCTCCCTACTTCCTGTCTAAAAAAAAGGGCGGCTCCTTTCCCGTGAACGTTTTTCCCCCCTCTTCTAGGCATGACACGTCCACTGATTCAGAGCTCAGTTGTGGAAAGAATCCAAGCATCTCAACCAGCAAAGCCAGCTTCTCAGAAGCCAACAGGAGTTCTGTTCGATCTGCTCTGTGCCAGAGGAACTGGGAAGCAGAGGCCAAACCTTCTGCTGCAATCAACATGACAATCTACGTTGCCTTGACAGCCGCAATATTGATCTTCTTGCTTATCCTCAAGGAGACCAGAGAAGGTTTCTCACCCAGAGAGAGACAATGCTTGTGAATCATTGATTTAGGAAATCAGCTCTCCCAATAATCGCAATCCCATTTATTATTTTTTTCAAGAGGGGAAAATTGGGGTGGGGGGGGGTTAGAGCGGAGTTATGATCAGGAGCTGCACTGGTTTGCTGCCTGCTGGGAAACCCTGTTGTTTCTCATAGTCTGAATCATATGAACGAGACACATAATGCGGGGGGGGGGGGCATGTGGGAGTCGAAAGCAAAGGCAAGGAATACGTTGGAATATCTGATCGAACATGCAATGGTATCTTTTTTAGAAAAGGAAAAAAAGGAAGTTAATCTTGCTGTGCTTTTTGCCACCTTCTAGTGGGTGAATTGACCTAATCCGTGATTTTCATACTGTCTCCTCCACTGAAAAGGCTGTTCTACTGGGAGGATGTGCTGTGCTGCAATACTGTAAATGAACTATACCTTGATAAACAACAGGGTGAATAATACTACAGAAGACTCTTATTGTCACCTAAAAATGCTAAAGATACAATATATTTCTGTGGCGGTGTGATTTGAAGGATCCTCTTCAACCCACCACCCCCGTTTTCTCAGTCTGCTTCATTATTTCCTCGACCATTTTTGTTAACGCACAAAATAAGGCAACCTGGAAAAATGTATCACTTGTGGCTGAGCACCAGCTCAAGCAACAATACCTATTTTGATTTGAGCAATGGAAGGGCAGCGAATCTCTGCCATACCTTCTAGAAAATGTAACACTGAATTAACAACCTGCAAGAGATTAAACAGTTCCTCCTATAATGGAGGAACGTATGGAGCAAAGCTCAGTACATCCCAGCCCAAATGCACCTCTCTGTAATCGCCTTTCTCCTTGTTGCATCCAAAATAAATGGTCCAGCATATGCATCAGCAGGAGACAGGGACAATTAGTAACAGGGCCTGATAGGGACTACATAAATCCGGCAATGAAATATTCCCTTAACCCCTTTATCTTACCTGAGAAGAAGAGAGATAAATTACAGCATCAGCCGAAGAACCATTATCCATAGATCTGCATATGCCGTTTTTTCCTTATTGCAGCTGTCCAGGTTCCTCAAGATAGGAGCTTCCAAAGTCTCCCATTTTTACACCGTCTCAGGGACAAAAAATGATCCACCCCAAAAAAATTGAAAAGAAACCTTTACAGGAACCTTCTGCCCTGGCGTCTTTCTCTAAGGATCATTCTGTGTTCCCCAACATCCGTAAGGGAGGGGGTGCTTGTGGGGGAATTTAAAAAAAAAAAAAAGCAGGGAAGGAGGAAAAGAGACTGCTCTGTATTTAAATAATGAAATGAAAACCAAGTCTCCAAATTAAGGGATAGCGCCATCTACCGGCAAAAGGAATGGATGTTTTTTCCCCCCGTTCTCTTGTTTTTGCACCCCTGTGACAGAAGCTGCATCGTTAGTCACATATTCTCATTTTGAGAACTAAAAATACACCAACTTTAAACAAGGAAACGACAGACGTTTTATATGATTGCACCATTCAAAGGGGGAGGGGGGAGAAGAGGGTGACAATAATGTAACCCCATTTTAGAAAATCTTTCCTCATGCATCCAGCCTCCTATGCCATTATTTATCTTGAGGCTCCCCCTACCCTTCTGTAGATCAATCACATTTAAATGATAGGAATGCAAGGGTTTTCTCAGCTCATCTGCCAAAAAAGCACTTGCAATATCTGTCATAGGCGGCTTTGCAAGGTGCAACTTTAAATTAGAAGCTTTTGCACAACTTTGGGATGGCAATCATCATCACCAACAAAGCAGGGAATAGCAATATTGCTAAGCATGTCTCTTTTATAAAAAAGGAAAGGAAAGGAAAGGAAAAGTAGTGGTATGGCTGTTAATTGAATCCGATGATAAATTTGAAATTGTGCACTGCAGATCACCAAAGACAATTCTTCAGTGCAATCCTATATATATTTATATGGCAGTGAGTCTATGGGCTCACTGCTATTTATCAGTACTATTTATCAAATGGCCCAGATATGTAAGGCCCTTTCATCACTTCCTCAAAAGCCTTTTGACATTTGTACTATCCATGACTCTGACTTTGGATCAATATTTTCACAGTTTGCACTTTTCACAATTTGCCCTAAAACATTTTTTTAAAAAACCTTGAACCAAAGGATAAATTGCTGAAATATTTTATGCCACTTTAGAAAGGTATTCAGTATTTGAAGGACTAGCACATAGAAAAGGGAAATTAAGTTACACTATGTACTATTATGCAACCTGTCATGAATATTACTTAAATTAAGGAGATGAATTACTGGTTTGTTTCTTTGTTTATATCCCACCTTCATTATTTTTACAAAAAACTCAAGGCAACAAACACATCTGGCTCCTCCTATTTTCCTCAGAACAACAACCCTGTGATGTGTGTTGGGTTGAGAGAGATAGTTATTAGCCCTAAGTCACCCAAGTTGATTTTTCAAGGCCAAAGCAGGATTTGAACTATTAGTCTCCTGTTTTCTAGTCTGGTGCTTTAACTACTAGACAATGGGTGTCAAACTTGATTGTGTCACGTGATGTATCGTGACGTATCATGATGTTTTTTGCCTTTGCGGAGCTGGGGCGGGTGTGGCCTGTGTGTGACACATCCGGCCCATGGGTCGCCAGTTTGACAGGCCTGTACTAGACCAAACTGGGGATTATTGATTGATTGATTAATTTGATTTGATTTGTACAACCGCACATCTCAACAAGTTCTTGATTCTTGATTCTTCAAGTAGTTTTTCTTCATTATGTTTCATTCATTACTTGAGGCCTCAGGTTCACTGAACAATTATGAACTACTTTTTAAAATTAATTTTTAAATTAAAATCCTCCTCTTTAATAGTCATACTTATAGTAATGATAAATGTTGATATAGTTGAAATATTTACTATATTTAATATTTACTATATTTTTATAGATTGGGATACAAACCTATATTCATGAGATTAGACCCAGAAGATGATGATAGTTCTGATTCATTAATGTGGGGAAAAGAACATAGTATTGTGTCTTAGCTATTTTTGACATTCTAATTCTAAGCAATAATATCTCTTTGAAGTTTATTTTAAGCTTTAGCACTCTCTAAACCCGGGGTGTCAAACTCGCATCGTTATGGCGTCGTCACATGATGCATCAGGACTTTTTTCCCCTTCGCTAAACCAGGCGTAGGCATGGCCAACGCGTGACCCATCTGGCCCGCGGGCGGGGAGTTTGACAGTCCTGCTCTAAACAGTATGATTCAAGGGAATTTCACTTAGCTTGGAATTACCCTTAAAAGAAAAAATACATATCCGAGTTCTACTTAATTGGGAATGGAGAAGGCATTCATAAACATTTATTCTGAAAAACTCTTAGTAGCAACATTATTTAGGGATCATTTATAATTGTAAGAAATATAATATCATTAAGGAGTAATAATCAATTATATTTGCTACTACTAAATTGTACAGGTAGTCCTCAATTTATAGCAGTTCATTTAGTGACTGTTCAAAGTTACAACAGCAGTAAAAAAGACTGACTTATGACTATTTCCCCACACGTACGACCATTGCAGCATCCCCATGGTCACACGATCAAAATTGAGACACTTGGCCACTGGCTTATGATGGTTGCAGTGTTCCAGGGTCATGTGATTACCTTTTGTGACCTTCTGATAAGCAAAGTCAATGGGGAAGCCAGATTCACTTAACAACTGCACCACGGTGGTGCAGTGGTTAGAGTGCAGTACTGCAGGCTACTTCTGCTGACTGCCAACTGCCTGCAATTTGGCAGTTCGAATCTCACCAGGCTCAAGGTTGACTCAGCCTTCCATCCTTCCGAGGTGAGTAAAATGAGGACCCAGATTGTTGGGGGGCAATATGCTGACTCTGTAAACCGCTTAGAGAGGGCTGTAAAACACTGTGAAGTAGTATATAAGTCTAAGTGCTATTGCTATTGCTACTAACTTAACAACTGCAGTGATTCATTTAACAACTGTGGCAAGAAAGGTCGTAAAATGAGGCAAAACTCTCTTAACAACAACTATATTTCCTTAAGTCTGGAAATCAGCTCAAAGGACAGCAGTGCAGCTTGGATCTTTTGCATGTATAGTTTGCAACCCACAGTATTATTATTATTTTATTATTAAATAACTTTTAATGTGCTTTTCCCATTTTATACGACCAGCATTATTTTGACAAACTGCAGTTAATCCATGTAACCCATTTTGCAACAATGTTTTTGTGTTACAAAAATAGCCTTAGGTGTGAAAATTAATACATTTTCATTAAGACTGGAAATAGAATGCTTGGCAAAATTTAGCAACATCATTTATGGAGCAACGAACTGATTTATAATGTATATCATTCCTATATAATACCATGTGAGATTTATAAGTATGCCTGGCATATGAAAGTTCCGTGTTTAGAATAAAAATGACTAAAAAATTGTCCGTTTTTTTACACAAAGGCAAGCAGTATATTACTCTCCATGGTAAGCCACAGAACAATGAAGTGCTTGCGTGGTATATCTATAAAATATAAAGCCATTTTACTAATCAGTGAATCCTCAGTATAGGTGGTCCTTAACTTACAATTATTTGTTTAGTGATTGTTCAAAGTTACATTACTGAAAAAAGCTGAAAAATTTCATTACTGAAATTACTGAAAAAAGAGTTGTGACTGTTTCTTGCGCTTACGACAGTTGCAACATTGCCATGATGACATGGTCAAAATTTGGACGCTTGGCAACTGGCATGTATTTATAATGGTTGCAATGTTCCAGGGTCATGGGATCATCTTTTGTGATGTCTGACAAGCAATATCAATGGGAAAGCCAGATTCACTTAACAATCATGTTACTAAGTTAACAACTGTAGTGATTCACTTAACAACTGTGGCAAGAAAGGTTGTAAAATAGGGCAAAACTCCCTTAAAAACGGTCTTGCTTTGCAACAGAAATTTTGGACTGAATTGTGGTTGAAAATCGAGGACTACCTGTAATCTCTTCATGGACTTTATAGAGTAGCGTATAACACCTGGCTATGTTTTGAAATCCACGTGAGTCTGCTTATAAAACAAATGACGAGAAGCATTACATGAATTGGTTTACTGGGTTGAGCCAATGAAAGAAGTGAAATTGATTTGCTATTATCCATTTATTAAATGTGCCAAAAACAAGCGTTGTCCTAACAGTTTCAGAACCACAAAGGCAAAAGCATGTTGCTAAATATTTGTTCCATTTAGATGTCATCTTTCCTTCAGGAGCATTAATTTAAGGGGCATAAACATTTTGCTTCACAAAAGCGGAGAGGTAAAGTGTGAAATGAAGTGAAATGAAGTGAGATAGAACAAGGTGAAGTGAGATGGGCTGAATGAGGATAATTCTGCCAAAGTCATCCACTGAACTTTGGTGGCTGACACAAATCAGATGGAACTGCATTAAAACATGCCCTATAAAACAACTTCCTGATATTTGGATACTCATTCAGGTAATATGACTACAGGCTGTTTTCCAGCTGCAATTCAGCTTTCCAGATTTAAAATGTGGTGATCCTTTGACTGTTCTATATTCAACAGAAAGAATATCAAATGGAAGGAAAGAAAATAGAAGCAGCTTAGAACAAAGTGGAAATAATTTCATTACAGAATGTCACTGAAGTGTTTACCTACTCTGCCGTCAGTTAGACAATGCCGGCTGATGACCCCCAGGGGGAGAATATTCTCTGTGGGGGCCCCTACCCTCTGGAATGAGCTGCCCCCGGAGATTCGTAGGATTACCGACCTGCGTACCTTTCGCTGTGCCCTAAAAACATTACTATTCCAACAAGCAGGGCTGGCCTAAATAATAATAATATTTTTACTATTTTAATGGGTTGTTTTATTAGAATTTTCGGCCAATTGATTTAATTGTTTTAACTTGTTTTTAATTTTTCTATTGTCATGGTTTTATTTCTGGCTGTACACCGCCCTGAGTCCTTCGGAAGAAGGGCGGTATAGAAATTTAATAAATAAATAAATAAATAAATAAATAAATATTGTTTAGAAGAATTGTGAAGACCTGGTTCTTCATCCAGGCCTTCAGTGAGGAAAAGAGCGACCCCTTCCTTCATCATACTTGCCATTATTTATTATTCATGTTTTACTGATTTTATTGTACTGGTTTTGTTTCATTGTTGTTTGACTCCCAGAGTCATTGAGAGTTCAGCAGCATGCAAGTTTAATACACTATGGTTTTTCTCAGCCAGATGTTTAGA